AGGACCCACTCGGGGCTCCGGCCCCTCCCCCGGCTCCGGCCCGCAGGGTCCACTCTGAGCAGCCGCACTGAGTCCACCTGCGTCCAGACCCACTGCCCTCTTCCAGAGGTGCTCCCAGAGCGCAGGGCCCGGGACAGCGGGGCAGAGGCCCACACGGCGGGCTGGGAGACCCACGCCTCCCTGGAGACGCCCACCAGGCCGCGGGGCCCGGTGGAGTCTGGACTGAGAGAGAGGGGAAGCTGGGAGCGGGCCCAGGGGCTTGACCCTGAGAAGCTGGGTTCTTAGGAGGGGCCGTCAGCAGCTCCAACCCACGGGCGCAGTGCTGCGTGAATCCCGGCTTGGCCACCACCGCCGGCCACCTCTGTGGACACGCTCCTGTCCGGGGCGACCCTGATTCGCACCTGCGGGGCTGAGGGCAGGAGCAGCAGCACTGAGGTGGGTTTCAGGGGCCAACACTGCAGCAGGCCCTGGGGCCGCGTCCCCGGGGGAGGGCACTTAGCCAACGTGGCGGGGTGCTGGGGCCAGCTGCCCAGGGATGGGGGACAGGAGCGTAGGCAAGGAGCAGGGAAAGGGACCAGACTTCAGGTCAGGGGTGTGGCATTCTCTGCGGAAAAGCATGCCGGCTGAGGCAGGCACACTGACCCAACAGGGGAACCAGAAGTGGCTGCTGATGCCCTGCCCACCCGGCCCCGCGTGACCCCTGGGCTGTGCTCAGAGGCAGGGACGGGCCACCCCCAGCATCACCGGCGAGATGCATGGGACTCAAGCAACACAGAGGTGTCTTCACCGCACACGGGGGCGACTCCTCTAAACCTGCGAGAAGCCAGCATCACAAACAGGAAGAGGGCCGGGGCGCACCTGCCTCGCCCTGGCAGCGGCAGGGGGACTGGGCACCTAAGTGATGCTGCCCCAAGACTGAGGCGGGGCCCGGCCCCACTTGGTGTGTGTCTAGGGCTCAGGTTGTCCACTCCACAGCAGCGCTCGGAGAAGTGCGCTCGCCTGCGGCCAGTGTCTCTGCCTCCGCGGGAGTCGGTGCTCAGCAGGGTAACCTCTGGCCCCCGAAGTGGCTGATGGAGGAAAACATCGAGCGGTGTGGCCTCCGCTGAGCCACTGTGCTTCCCAAACAGGGTAAGGATCAGCGACGAGGAACCGGGAAAGGGCTCACCCTCGTGGGCTTTCGGTCAGAGAGTGACTTTACAGTGTGGCTCAGAAGAGAACCCACGACTTCCTAGGACCCCGGCTCTCTGCTCCCGCCTGTCCCACTGCTCTCCCAACCCCCACCCGTGCTACCCCCCCACCTGCTCCCCACACCTGCTC